CACGACATGACAAATCCCCGACAGTAAACTGCCTTGTTCTATTTATGAGGTACTGACACAAGAGTTCAAATGTCCTGTGTAGACACTAGACAGACTCAATCTGTTGCGACGCGGCGGTCTCGCGTCCGGTGTAGACGCGGTTCACTGTTCCACTACTGTTATTACTGTTATTACACTTGTATACAAAACTTCGTATTATGCTTGTTATAGAGTGCATGACGTCATGTGCACTACCGCCGGTGGCAGTAGACAACCACCTACTGAATAATAGCGATTTTAGCGACTTTTACTTTTACTAATTTATTCTCCCTGTGTCTGCGTGGGTTTACACCGGGTGCTCTGGTTTCCTCCCACAGCCCAAAGACATGCAGTTTAGGTTAATTGAACATGTTAAATTGTCCCCGGATGTGTGTGTAAAGACAAGACTTGTGTATGAATCGACTTGTGTATGGATTAACTGGTTCTCGCCATGAATATAGCCATAGATGCTGGATTGGCGTTAAGAAAGAAATAAACAAATAAACTTTTACTAATTTACAGGCTATGCATGTGTTTGATTTTCTCACATCTGTCTTCATAATTACACTCATGCATACACAGACACTCACACTCGTTAATGCGGCTCATTATTCCTCCTCCCAGTTCAGTGAATTCCTGGCCACCGTCATAATGGTGATTTGTGGACTCACATTGTACATTAGCAGCTTTATTTCACCAGTGTATCCTGCCCCTCTATTCAGTAACAGTGCTGCAACTGCCAAAGAAATTGTATTTCAGCTGTGTTGTCCGTTTTCAGGCTTAATTGAGTGTGATGAGATAAAACAGACCAGATAGCACAAAATAATACAAAGACAATAAACAGATAACACTCTTTCTATTGTATTGCTCTTTGCTTGCTACACTGCAACCAGTGTAGTATGTATGATTCACAAACCAGCTATGAGCCAGTTAAATGATCAGCCAGTCAAAAGGACAAAACAAATGACTTTGAATTAGTCAAATTACATGCTCAATTTGTGAGAGCAATTATTAATTATCCTCTGACTCACTGACTAAATGTGTGTGGTTTTTAATTACAGATACACATTCACAAATAGGTTTTATTATAATAAATTGTATTTTAATAGTATTGTTGGTTTATTAAGGCTGCGAAACACTGTAGGAAACATTGCATATATTTTGTTCATGATAGTTCATCTGATTCAGCTATAGATTTAGACAACTCGTTTTGCCTCGTGTTAATGTAAATACTTTATCATTGATTGTTTTCCTGACTTACTGCTCTTGCTTCCCTTTGACCCCTGTGTCAGTCTCCTGTTATGAAATGAAAGAAGAGTTAGAGCTGGACCAGGGGGATTGTTTGCATAAGGCTTCATCTGTCTTCAATACAGGGAACAGCGTTTGAACACTAATGATCCTCCTCCTGCTTTACTGTCTGGCCCTGGAGACCCAGTGGAAAAACACACAATTACACACACACAGTTGAGTGGGTCTGACAGCAGCCCATCTTTTCAAACACGCAGACACAGCCTCTTTGATCTGTGTGTTTACGGCCCTGAGTTGGATCTCTGTAGTGTTTGCTGTGTCTTGTTCTTAAGGAATATGTTTCTGCTTTCATCCCTGAAGATTTTCAGGCTCTTGCCTTATGTCAATAGATGGACAGATGCTTGAAGTCATCAACTGATCCATGATATTGTGTTTTATCCGATATTTGTATATATTTTGAGATTAATTCAAGTAACTTTGAATAATTACAATAAATACAATTGTTTTACCACTCAGTTCTGTTATTTATACTCTTAATTAGTGGTGCTTTCTGAAATCAAGTTAGCCATGTTTGTACAGTGCTTTTCAAAATGCATTTAGTTTCACGGTAAAGTTCTACACAGAACTCCAAAAGATGTTTTGATGAAGAGGAAGAACAACCTTGGTTGAAATCATACCTGGTTTTGCGGGGAGAGGCCATCTTCTGCTGGAAAAGAAACAGATTACAATAATATATGTATGCCATAGAATGTCTGGTTACATATGTGCAATACTGATCATATTTCATTAAATAAGTGGAATGATTTAATATGTTAAAATGTTTATAGAGAATTCATGCACATGTTTGTACTGCTTTGTAAGGAAGTGACGCACAGAATGTTTGTACTGCAGACAGGAATAATACTTCAAATATTGGTGAGGTTTACTATTACTGTTAAATCAGAAGAGCAATTGGAAAAAGAAAACATACCATAGACTTGTGTCTTGGAACAAAAATATATTAGCAAATTAGCAACCATTGCCACCAGAAACCATTCAGAACATTAGCAGTTGAACACTCTGGCATTGTGTTGGTGAGTTTTGAACAGCCAAGCATCACTCACTCATTTTTTCAGAAAATATAAAAATCTACAGTTGTTATGCAGCGTATTTGTGAAAAGTAAATTATTTTTTGACTGCACAGCCAGTGGCAGATGAGACAAATGATCCTGAAGAAAAAGAAGACGCCTCGTTGCCTGACAGTCTGTGATATTGTTGTGTCGGATCAAATGTTACGAAGTTAATTCAGATCTTGCCATCTTGTGCAAAAACACAAAGGCTGCATTTCTTTATCGTACAGAGATGATCAAATGAGCGTAAATGTTGATGACAGCTGTACAGAAACTCATAGTCAGCTGATTACTTGTGATGCTGCTTACACATGTGCAATGCAGTTTTTCATTCATTGTGACTGTTGCTTGGTTAATTTGTGTCATTAATCTTTCTCTATCTGAGGTAATTGCTTACTGAGCACTGCAGTGGTCCCAAAACGTATTTGGACATTGATGCCGCAATTAAAAATGTATGAATGTGATGAATTGCTTATGCTCCTCTATTGTAAGTCGCTTTGGATAAAAGCATCTGCTAAATGTATAAATTAGAGTTGCACAAGTAATCATATTTTAATCACGATGACGATTTCTGCTTCTCTTTATTAAGTATAATCTAAATTCCTCAAAGCTTTTCCCATAAATCGATACATTTTCCACCAAGTGTGTATTTTATGTTCCCCACCTGGCAACCATGCACACATTCTCTCTCTGTGCAGCAAAAAATGTTCATGATCTGAAAACACATATGTTGGAGTTTAGTGATCTCCATTGCGATATTCTGTGTCATACAGCCAGTCTTTGTTCCCTCAGAAGGCTGCTTGTGCTATTTTTTGCTTTTGTGCCAGTTTTTGCTTTGAAGTAAAATAAACCCTGTGTATAGGTTGACAGTGTCTTGATTTGTGCTTACGTAAGAGTGGCATCATTAAAAAGTAATTTCTCAAATGAAAATAATCTTGATTAATTATTGTGGTTTATATTGAGCAAATTTATATGAGTGATTTATATTTTGTGCAAAATAAATAGTAACGTGCAACCCTACTTTAAATGTAGCTAAATGTCATGTAACGAATGTCTTTGCAATAAATAACAAAATATCAGACCAAGAAGCATTGGCTAAGAAATGATGCAGTCTTCACTTATCTTTGTCATTTCAAAGGGATAGTTTGCCCAAAATTGAAAATTTTGTTATTATTTACTTATTTTATTCCAAATCTTTGACCACCTTCTTTCTGCTGTATTTATTTGTTGGATAGTTTGATATCTAATATAGTGACATTCATAAATATTTTGTGTACAGGAGTTGGGCCAGAAGTGTTGCTTTGTTTTTTAAAAAAAGGATAAAAGAACAGCAAGAACAAGAAGGCTGCTGTACAACAGAGAAATCTCTTTTGGACATCAGTAGCACAGGTGTTCATCAGCATGTGAATCAGAGGATCACTGTCACGTGAAAATGCTGTCAGATCCTGTTCCAGCTCCAGAACAACACCTCAATCCTCACTCAGTCTTTCCCTCTGCCGTTTCATCCCGCTCATTTATTACTGTATAGTGTATTTGCTTTTTCTCTCAGGTTCCAAGAAGGAAATCATGACTCATTCATCACTTACAACAGTTTGTTGCATAATAATCAGAGGAATGCCATTCAATGCGTGTGTGTGTGTGGTTTCTCGTACTTCCTCTTCGCTTGTTGAAATGTTCACTTGGCTTTCAAACACCATTTCAAATCAATTAAATAAAAGCAGTTCAAACCACTCAACCCGTAAAGAGTTCACTTGAATGTTATTGGCACACACAAAAATAACTCATTCAAGTTTTATTTGTTTTCGCAACTCCCTTTTAGTATTTTGTCATTAGGTTTGCACATGCTCTGCCAGGGTCTGAGGAAGTTCCTTCCTAGTTTTCATGTTTTGCAGCCTTGCACGCTCACTAGAAGTATAGGTTTGCTTGATCTTACCATCTCTTTTTTTTTTCTAACTTCAGGTTTGTTATGTCTACCTTGTTTAAACTCCGTTTCCCTCTCCTCAACCTTACTGGACCAAAGTCCTGTCAGTCACAGCTGTGTGTCTGTTTACTCTACCCTCTCTCCCTCCCCCTGTTCTTTCAGGCATCTGCGTGAACTGCCAAGGCAACACCGAAGGACCCAGCTGTGAAAAGTGCAGGTATAATTTCTACCGAAGGCCTGGTTCTCTTGTGACAGAGCCCTGCATCCCCTGCCCCTGCTCCAGCGTCACCTCCACAGGCAGCTGTAAGCTCGGTGAGTCCTTCCCACATGCACGTCAGGCTAGTGTAGCCCACGTTAGCATAGCCTGCTAACTTTATTATCAAGCTCATATTGGCCACTGCTGTAGGAAATTCAGAGGAGATATCAACATCTGGGATACGTGGAGTACCCCCCTCTCATCTGTTTTGGATTATGTGTCTTGCATCATTCTGGCCAACCGCTTGCTGTCTGAATTTCTGGGTGGGTGGACCGAGACTTTTAAGAGAAGAGAGGTTTATTTGAAGTGAAAGTGAAACTGGAAACTTTTTTCTCTCCTCTCTGGGCCTCCACTCTGAACTAAACCCTCACAGGATATGTTTATGAAATGTACTGTAAAGGCGAGAACGAATGGGGGAGTTTCTTGTGTCTTATTCAGAAAGTGTTTTGATCAGTCCTGCAGTGCTCTGTCTCTCTAGGCCAGTGATGGGCAAACTTGGCCCTTCCAGGCCACTTTCCTGCAGAGATTTGATCCAACCCTGATAAAACTCACCTGCCTGTAGCCTTCTAGTAGTCTTGAAGAAAATGATTAGCTGGTTCAGGTGTGTTTGATTAGGGTTGGAGCTAAACTCTGAAGGAAAGTGGCCTGCCTGTAGCCATCTAGTAGTCTTGAAGAAAATGATTAGCTGGTTCAGGTGTGTTTGATTAGGGTTGGAGCTAAACTCTGAAGGAAAGTGGCCTGGAAGGGCCAAGTTTGCCCACCCCTGCTCTAGGCTGATTTTATTTGCCATATGTTTGTGAGGAATTGTGTGATATTGCTTTGTTGATCTGTGGGAGGGGTTTCTGGGTTTGCTGACTGCAGCAATGTTCTTGCTGCCTTGCAAGCTGATGTAAGGTAGGACCTGACAGTGGATAAATACCACATAGACCAGCAAAAGGGCAGGTGTGTGTTCAGTGTTCCCAGATATTACAGTAGTGTACATCACAAATGTAGCCACACAGTGTAGCTGCTGTTTTTGTGTAACAGGAGAAACATTATAACATGCACTATAAGAATTACAATCATAATCTTTTTTTTTTTTTTTTTTTTTTTTTGAAAAATTTTTTTTTCCTTTAAAAAAAAAAAACAAAAGCATGTATTAAAATGAAAACATATTATTTTGCTATGCTTCAAATAGTTTTTTCTCCATCATTAATTTAAAAAAAAAATCAAACAAACCGTTCTTAATTAAAGATTATTTTCTCCTTAATAAAAAAAAATCAAACTAAGATTTTTTTTTATTCACCACCACTCAAAAATGTGGGGTTGGTAAGATTTTTTTCTTTCCTACCCAAGGCTGAATTTATCTGATCAAAAATACACTAAACAGTATAACATTGTTGTGAAATATTATTACAATGTAAAATAACTGTTTTCTATTTTTAGTATATTTTAAAATGTAATTTATTTCTGTTATGGCAAAGCTACATTTTCAGCAGCTGATATGCTGATTTAATGCTCAAGAAACATTTCTTATAAAACACTTTATAAAACAGCATGTGAAATAGAAATTCTTAATAATAATTTGTAAGTTGTAATTTTTAATATTTTGTAATATTGCAAGTTTTGTAAACAATGTAAGCAAAAAGCTGTCACTTTTTATCAGTTAAATTCAAATACATCCTTGCTAAATAAAAGTATTAATTCCTTTAAATAAAAAATATATATATTACTGCCCCAAACTTTTGAACTGTTGTGTATTTTTATTTGATTTATTACATGTGAAAACAAAAATACACATTTTATGAAATTACATGGCTTGCATTACATTACATGGCATGGTTTATTTTATGGCTACAGTACATATCTACAGTAAATACATTTTATGTAGTAGCCACTGTTTCTAAATCAGAAGTGACTATTTCCCCAAACCAATCACCTGTATTCAGAGCCTTGATTAACACTTTCTGCCATCTATACCATAGTGCCATACTAACAATTACCTGCTCTGGGATTTGAGGCATCTGGTCTTATTTGTGGTGTGTGTTTTGCAGGCCTTTACAGTCTTTGTTTGCATCTGGCTCTAGAAAATGATGGCCATAAAACTAATCTGGAGGGTAAACAGCTTTTCAGGCACAGCTGTTATCCAAGATGATAGGTAAAGAATAATTGACGACAGGCCGTTGTATTATTAAAAAATAATGCACACCCGAGGTGGTGATGTGGCCATGATGCGAAGTGGAGTATGTTATTTTCTAATAATTTAACAGACCAAAGTCAATTATTCCACTGATACTACGGTTACCACACCTCAAATATTGTTCAGATGTTGTATTTCAAGACATTCGTCAGGTTTTTGTCCTTAAAACACTATTTTGAGTAGGATTAATTTCTTATGCATCTCATCCAACACCCCCTTTGCTAATTCTAAAACGTAATTTTAGTCCTAGTAACGGAGACTTGAACCGACTAATGCAGTTATTAATGAAGTTGTTAAGAGAAAGAGAGCCTATATGAATTACCTGAGTCTGTGCGTCTCTCAACAGTGTTCGGCAGCAGCATCTCAACTAACAGCGAAACTAAGTTTCTTCTTCAAGAACAGCGCCGTTATTATCTGACTAGGGAAATGTCATGTTGCTTTTAAGTTGCACAATTATTTTACTAATAAAATCATCAGAGCAGGGCTGACAACGTGTTTCTGTGTGCGTGTATGTTTCTGTGTGTGCGAGTGTCTGTACTGTATGTGTGTGCATTTATTAAGGAAGAGAGAAAGAAATGTTATCGAAATGTGCTTTCCGTAATCCGTACATAATAAAGCATAATTTTGTGGCAAAAACGTAGAAATAATTAGTCGTTTTTATCTGATTGTTTACTATATTTATTTGTTTGGTCAGTGTCGTTGTGGGTTTTGGTTTTGCTGTTTTAGGCTGTAAGGGCTTTTGGAATAACTGAAATCCTTAGGTGAAGTGATATGGACGTGTAATGCAGTCAAGACCTGCCTCGAACTACTTTAACCATGCATTTCCCTGAAAATAATTGCACACCTTAGAACATCCGTCAGCCAATCAGATTCAAGCATTCAACAGCCCAGTAGCCATTTTTCAAAGTCATTTGAAAAAAAAATACAGTAATATCTAACCATTCATATTTGCACAACTATCGCTGTCTTATTCTACTAAATAAGTATAGCTGTGTAAACACTTTCATCTTAGTTCTTGGTGTGTTTAGCATTGCAACTGCATTTGCACTGTTTGCAACTGGAGAACACATACATTTTTCTTCATGATAGAGGCTTTCTTAATTTATACACTAGATATACACATGTATATACATTTTAGAATTGTCAGTTGGTTGCCAGTTATATTTATGCAAATACTGCCAACTGAGGCTCATCAGCATAACTCAAGGCACATCTCTATAATAGAAGCTGTATTAGGCTCTTACATGTGATTTAAGAGCAAGCCAGCATGCCTGCCCAGAACACTTTCTATCTCTCCCTCTTTTCTGGTGTTTCTGCTGTTGATTTGGAGTAGCAACTAATAAACAACATTTTGAGATTATACATCCTCTGACAAAACTTAGCTAATGAATAATTAATGTGGCTTGACTCCTCAATCAAAAAGTAAGGCTTCCTGTAATGAGAAGTGTGTGTGTGTGTGTGTGTGTGTGTGTGTGTGTGTAAAAGAGAGAGTGTTCATCATCATGCCTGTATCCGAAAAGCAGCCTACACTGAAATGGGAACTACAGGTTCAGCCTTTGAGGATTAGTGATTATGGTAATGGAATGCTAATAACCAGCACAGCCAGGACAGTGGCTGATTAGACGACAGACCTTATTTTATTCTGCCCGTAAATCCCTGATGATGCAGCCTGATGAGGTACAGGGGAGCACACAAGTGTTAAATGAATTCCTCATTTACTCATCAAGGCCACACTTTTATTAACAGAACTCCCTGAAGACTGAATGCACCATCAGCCGGCCTCTAGATTACACTGCAGGCTCACTGGATGTCTCTATAGTGCTTACTGGGGAAACTTTGTTTTACTAGGATCTAAACAACGGAAATATATCATAATGTCAAGCACCAGCAAGAGGACGGAAGTGATTAATTCACACATGTGCTGCTGTAAAGGTCACTCAGCACAAGAGCAGAGCACATGGCTTAGATCATTAGTTTACATCCTGCACTGCACCATGGGAGGCATTAGCTCTGCTGCTGTGATTGAAGGGTTGCTGGTTCAAGTCTCAGCATCTAAGAGACTGATGTAGCTCTAGGTGGGTTGCAGGTATGAGCAGTTGCACACGTTTGCACTCTTCCTGCCCTACTGTAGCTGTGTTTTCGAAGAAGAAACTGCTACTGTATAAGCCCTGAGTGCCAGTGCCATAACCCAAATACAAGATTTTAAGCCATCTTGGCGAGCCTTATACTGCTCTTTTAGGATTTATGTGATGGATCATCAAAGCCAGAATGGTTCTTTATCAAGTTTTCATCTGATGTTTTAATTGCCCTCATCATAAAGATAGGATCAGAGTAATTAACACTACATATTTTTGCTCTGGGATGGTGTGATATCACCATTTAAAAGATCAAATTTAAAGCGCAGTTGTGAAATCAAACACCCAATATTCAGGATTAGTGAGAGCGTGGAAACAGCAGACCACTCATAACACAACCCCTGTTTGACTTATGTAGTCCAGTTTTAGTCACCGTCCGACTGGTGCTCAGGGACTCTTTTTCTCTCTTCCTCTCATTGTGTCCGTGGTCATCTACAGTCTGGATGCATCTCTCAGCACTCACAGCCAGAAGCTCTTTGCTTAGATCTCATCACAGCAAACTCTTACGCCAGTGTTGAGTGTAAATATGCTAGTTTGTTTCATTCCCATGGTGCCACATACAGTATAGTATTAAAAGTATTGTGTTTTTGTGTAAGGCAGCCCACCATAGAAAAAGTTATTTTAAATGGTAATAGGGTAAGTATCACCATAGAGTGCCTTTCAACCCTCACAATACTCACAAATTTTGGTCTTAATTTCCCATTCGCTTCCCATAAATAGTAGACACTCAAGTACTATAGAA